ATGTCCTCATAATACCTATTCCAACGAATAAGTTCTGCTGATTCTTCATTTTGCTCACTTTAGGCTAAAATTGCTGGTTTCTTTATCCCTTATCCTGAATCATCAAAGTAGATAATTCTATTAATTTGTTAAATTTGTTGACTGTTTTCTAGGCATTGAAATTGGAGGATGGAGGTATACATACACCCAGTGCTTTTTTTTGTAAAAAAAAAAAAAAAAAGTGTCGGAACTCACACATGTCATACAATCCGCCTTGCTTACCCTACAAGGTTCCATCCAAAAAAGGTGTCGGAACTCCGTTCTGGGTGTTCTATGACAAAAAAAAGCCCTGCATACACCAATTTCTCCTCACAACAATCCTGCCAATTAAATGAATTTGAAATGAAACATAAAGTCATTTAGTAAGCTCTATGATGAAGGTAGCCTTGAACATAGGACTCTACTATGCCGTGCTTTCTTTAAAGAAATCAGTACATCAGCTCTTTAATCTCAGTGATTGAGGAATCCAGTCTGGACTATAACGCTGAGATAATTTTTAAAAAAATTGACTGTTTTATCTTTCTCTTTTTCCCCTAACCTGACTTACTCCAAACTTTCAACAAATGTTTCTGAAGCCTCTGAGAAAGTTCTGTCTTAAGCCGGAATCAAAAAGAGTTGTCAGCTAGGATTGCCTTTTTCTTATAACAGACTAATACCACTACAACTGACAGGGAAAATGGACCCAGAATATATTTATTTATATTTTATATTATGATTAATTACATTTCTTTTACTTAATACATACTGCCCACAATCCCCAAATGACTCTCAGTGGCTTACAATTAAAAATAAACTTAAAGAAAAATGCAACAGACCAGAAGAGCACAGTACAAAATTAAAAACAAAACCAAACTGAAAACAAACTCTACAATTCCTCTGGCTGCAAGGCCTGGGAAAACAACCATGTCTTCAAAGGTTTCCTGAATGGAGGAACCGCACTAAACTCTGGGGGAGAACATTCCACTGATCAGGAATTAGAACAAAGTAGATGTATTTCTATGTCCTGCAAGGTGAAATTCTTTAGTTTATGGGACCCAGAATACAGTTTCCCAGCTGATGGTGATAACTTGATGTATAAGATTCAAAAATGGTATAATTTTGAGGAAGGACATTTCCTTTATTTCATTCTTATTTTTATATCTAAGAAATCATTCATAAAATGTGCAGTCAGCTGTGTAGTTTTTTTTCATGTATTAGAATATATTAGAATGGTCTCTTTCAAAAATAGAATGCTGCATTTCTGGATTTTTAGATATGTGGACTTATGTTAAAATGATAAACTAATATAGAAAAATTAGAAGCTTGATGGCAAAAATATCCGCGTACCTGAAGGATCATTCTCAGGAAAAATTTATCTCAATGTGGAGAAGATGGATAGATTATATTCAGAGAAAGTATGAATTGAAAAATTACTATGTAGCTTTTGATTAACATAAGATGTATATTAAAAATTTTGTATGTATTTTAATGTTTATTTTAGAGTCAGAGCAAGTTTATACTAGTGTGTAGTAATATGGAGTAGTTATGAATAGATTTGGATATTTTTTTGTTTATTTCCTAGATTAGCTTTGGGAAGTCCAGGGGGGGGAGGGGGAAAAGGGTAGGTTTGTATTATAGATTTATATGTATGATTTTTTTATTTTTAAGGAGGTGTCCGGTGATACCCCAACTGCACAGGACGGGATGGTTTGAGGGTGGAAGGGAAGTAGGAAAGAGGGAGGAAGGCGGAGTGGTGGTAGAATGGGAGGAGGAAGGAGTGGCAAGTGGAAGAGGGTGGTGCGGGAGGGGTACACCGGACACGTCTGTGAATGTTTTGTTTAGTTTCACTTTCTTTGGTTGATATTGTGATAAAAGATTTATGTTTGTGTTTTTTTTAAATGAAAAATAATAAAATTTAAATACAAAAGAAAAATTAGAAGCTTGAAGACGTTCTCAAGCTATATAAATAAAAGAGCATTACATAAATCTCCTATTTAATCACATCATTCACATCACATACTATACGTTTGGCTGAAAAACTATAGTTTAGAATTAGGACTTCCCTGGTTTAGAAGTATTTATTAGTTAATATATATTTTGTTCTTCTAGGCACTGATGAAGGTTTGTCATCTAATAAAGATTAACTACATTAGTTTGAATATAATATGCATATGGAATATTTTCTATTAGTCTGTCTACCTGTCTGCTTGTCTATCTATAACTGTAGCATATATCAAAGGAGCACAACTTTTTCCAGAGCAAGGGTCTCACTTGATTTTTGAATGCATGAAGCTAAACTCTTAAAGTTGCATGTTGAGTCAACCTTAGCTCCTAGATTTGACTGGAATTAATTAACATTTACACTTTAATTACAATTAAATTAAATTACTTTCCAATCATGCATATAATAATTTTCTGTTCTACCACATTAACAGCTGCAATTTTGTACAAATTTGAAAATGTCTCTACTTTACTCCAGGATTTGGGGCTACATCTGCTTGGGACTTCATGTTTTGTTCCCCTGCTAAACATCGCCTGTTAAAATCTGACATAAGACTACTTTTCCAATGGCAATTTTGTAATAAAAAATATTCTCCATGAAAAGATATCCAGTAATCATCTGGAAAAGTTTTAATTTATTTTTTGGGATCACTTTACTGTGTGCTATTAGACTGACAGTAAGTGGCTTATTATGCTGTAATGTGTTATAATCAAGAGCCTATTTAGAAAGGAATATATGCACCAGACAATTAAATACTGTGAATTTAGTGTATTTTTAAATACATTCCTATATAAAAGAGCAAAGATATATGGGAATAACTTTAAGAACTGGGGGTGGGGTGGGGGTGGTAATATTGCCTGAGAAAGGGATAGATAAGAGAGGACCTAGCCCATAGCTGTATAATGGGAAGAGCAAGACACTCAGAAAAAAAACCTCCCTAACTTCACAAGCTGTAAAAGAGACAGTGGGACATTTGTACTGTCAGACATGCACATTTCTATGAATGTAGCCTTAAAGTAAAGTAGAATTATCTCATTTGGTCATGTTTCCTGTCTGGTCTATCTGACAAAGGTAGACAAAAAGTCAATTTAAATATAGTAGGCAAGATCCAGATTTTTGGTTACTTCATCATAATGGCATTTGATATAAAGATCTAGAAGGCTAATTCTTTATAACTTGCCCAAGTCCTCCCACACTATTTCAGGGGACACTCCAGCTCTTCTTAATACATAATTAGGAAATACAGAATATGTATTATTTAAAAATTAAACTTATGTTCCTCTGAATTTCACTGGGGGTATACTTATTGGTCTACAAACCAATAACAATAACAACTTACATAATATTTGCATACATATTAAAATATATAACCTAATTGCAAAATATTGTTCAGAAGAGTTTCATTTTCATCAGTTTCTAGAAAACTATTAAGAAAGCTGATTTAGCTTCAAGTAGAAGACTACTCCACAGAAGTGGAAAAACAACACCAGTAGGGCTTCAGCCTCCTTTGCCTTATAAAATTGGGAACCCCCTAAAGGTTTTCCCGAGATGAATCCACTGATAGGAATAATTCTGATAGAAAAAAACAGTCTTATAGGTACCAAGATGCATAGCTATAAAGGGTTTTGTAGATTAAAACCAACACATTGAATTGCAGCTAGAAATCTACTTATAAGTTAATGCATTAGCATGACACAGGTGTAATGTGCTAATGGAAATAAATGTCACACCTGGGATTCTACTATATTTGAATAAAGAACCTATCTCAAGTTGTCCTCAGGCAAGCTGATAACTAGAGCATATTGATAGGAACATTATTAAAAGTGAAAAATTTTGTGGAATGATGGAGTTGCCCATATAAAGAAAATGGCTTATGCAAAAGAGTTTCAATTTATTTCCAAACCAGTTAATCTTGATTTAACTCAAGAATCAGAAAGTATAATATTTCATGGTAATTCAGACATAGATGATACATGTTTATGAAGAATCAGAACTACAGTATGTTTGCTACATATAGATTTACTTTATATTGTTATTGGCTATCCTGGTGGCATATATTAATAATTTCAAAGCAAAATCAAGTAAGTCAGGAAACAGACAACAGTGAATTAAAATTGGCCAGTTTCCTCTTTTGAGAGTAATCTACAGTGTAATATATACCAGTGGCAGGTGGAAATATGTTGGATTCCAACACAGAGACCCCAAAAAACACTTATATAAACCTAAACCTTGTCTTTATACATTCCCACTACTTTCTTAATTAGTCACTATTCCAGGCTAAATAGATGGATTTATCTGAACAGAAGGCAGGAATACAGAGAATGTAAACAGGCAATCATAACCAATGGACACTTTGATAGTTAAAGATAATGGGAAATAGTATCTCCTCTTCAAAGAGAAGTAATGCAAAAGGATGTGAGAGGTTTAAAAACAGACTTGTTAACATTCTGAACTGTAATTCCTGCTTATTCAAAAACTGTCAGATATTTTCTATGACTGTTATTTCATTCTGTAAATATGTCAAATTAATGTGATTTTTTAAAAAAAGTTTATGGCTACCTGAATCACAAATAGGTAACCCCAAGCACCTTACAATATTCTTCTCCTTTAATTGTAATTTTCCAGTGTCCAATTTTTAAAATTTTTATCTTATTTTTTAAAATATTCAAAAACAAAAGTACTGTCCCATGGAAAACAAGGGAAAATCTTACTTCAAATTTATCTGGACCCTTGGTACATTTGTAACTTTCTAAAAACAAAGTTTTAATTACCCCTTTGCTATTTATTCTCAATTCTTTTTAAGATGATAAGCTTGTAGTTAACATTTTCTTTTGCTAAGGATTGAAAGAAACTTACCCAATGTGTCAAACTTGTTGATCCAAATATCTCTAATAGCTGAAAAGCAGTTAACAAGCAGTTTCTGAAAGAGATTAGAAAATTGTATTCCAATATTACCAATTATATAATATTTTCTTTTCAGGTCCTCCTGGTAAACGAGGTAAACGAGGAAGAAGAGGAGAGACTGGTAAGTTTTTAAACATAAAAGTAATGCATTTTCTTTGTATGATATAAAAATATTATTTCTAGTCTGTTTGCTAATAGATTAAGTTAATGATGTTTATTGGCTGCCTTTGTTAACTCAACAACTATACTCAATGAGGGATGAGAGATTATTAGAGAACACAAAAAGGATAATAAAACAGGACTGCCTTGAACAACTTCTGCCCTATAGATAATTGGGGCTACAGCTTTTCAATCTTTTGCCACTTGCCATGGCAACTGATGCGCTTGAGAATGAAATTTCCAAGTGCCTGGAAAGGGGTCTAGGCCAACTCACCTTGGAACAACTTGCCGCAGAAGAAATGGTGGAATTAAATCATTAAAGAAAGGATGAAAAGATGGGATAAAATGAAATGTGAATGACAAAAATTAAAATAATTTTTAAACTGTTTTAAATAATTGAATTGTTGAATTGTTCTGTGGTGAGTTGGCCACAGCGAGTTGTCCTATGGCAAATTGGTCGTGGCAAAATGGCCATGGCAAGTAGAAAGCGACGAGTTGGTCACTGCAAGTTGGCCACAGAAAGTTCTCCCATTTCACCTAGAAAACACACATTCCATTTTTTTAGAGGCAAGATTCCCTCTTTGGCACAAGGAATGATTATTGTATGTATCCTTCTGCTGAGTCTTCATGCAAGGATAAATAAAAGAAAATCAGCATATTTTTATAGCCTAAAGGATATTGCCAACATTGTCATACTTTGGTGCTTTGCTGTGCATTTATTTATTTGTATCCCACCTTTATTATCTTTGCAAATAACTCAAGGCAGCGAACATATCCAATAAATACATATTTCATATGTATTTATTTTTTAGTAATTTTGATTATGTTGTGACTTTTATCAATTAAACCATTATAAATTAAGATAACTACAAAATCCATTATAGCAACCTTCTTTTGTAAATCTACAAAATATAGATAATCCTTGACTTAGAACTATTCATTTAGTGACCATTCAAAGTTATAACTGTACTGAAAAAAGTGACTCACAACTGGTCCTTACACATACAACTGTCACAGCATCCCCACAGTTGCATTATCAAAATTCAAGCATATGGCAACGTATTTATGATGGTTACAGTGTCCTGGGGCCCTGTTATCACCATTTGCAATCTTCTTAGCTGGCTTCTGACAAGCAAAGTTAATTGAGGAAAGGGGATTACAGTGATTCACTTAACAACTATAGCAAAAAAGGGCGTGAAATCAGGTGTAATTCACTTAACAACCACCTTACCTAACAATGGAAATTCTTTTCCCAATTGTGATCATAAGTTCAGGACTACCTGTATATCAATGAGTGAATGAAAGTCTGTAATTGTCATGCCCCTGAAAAAAATCTTTCAAGAGAAAGGAAAATTCAGCTTATGCTAATTTTACTCCTTAGCTCTATTTGCATAGAATGTTATGTAGTTCAACAATAAAATAATCAACATAAAAGGTATAAAACACAACATTAATATTAATTTATTCCTCATCATTGGATCAGAGGTGAAAAGAGCAGGAAAACATCATGCTTGTTGGGTCATATATGAATTAAAGGGATTTTAATAAGGGATTTCAATGAGATATCTTATGTGTTTAAATATATGACATTAATAAAGGAAACTAAATTGTTTTCTGTTAGGAAAAAAATCATGTGCATTAAATATATCTTTAGATTAAGACCATTAAAATAAAGAAATTACTTTAGCTGATTAGTATCACATTGTTAGCAAAAGTCTAGTTATATTAAAGTAAATTTCAATATCCACTGTTCTAAATGCCTTTTTGCAACATGAAGTCAAGAGAAAAAAGAAAAATTAATGAAAAGGTATTGATCTGATGGTTATCACTACCCCTTTTAATAAGGGTAAAATAAATATTTTATGTTGCGTGACAGCCTCAAGAATAGAGTGTAAAAAATTAGGAAAATGTGCTAATATTGCTTCACAAAATATGGCATTTTAAGAGGGATCTTGCACAAGAGAAATAAAAAAGGAGAGGACATTTAAGAAGCAGTTTTTGGCTCTTTTTCCATCTTGGCAAAAATAGATGGTAAAAATATAGATCCAACCAACTCTACCTTTATTCTAAAATTAAATGCTATGGGGAGAAATTAATATGAGTTTACTTGGGGGATGGATAGTAGAATATAAGGTTAATGTTACCTGAGAAGAATATAAATGTTAGGAGTATGACGCTTCAAAATGATTTTAAAAAGGGGTTTAGGCCTTGCCTGACTTTTTTTCAGGCCTGAAAGTAGAATTTAAGGAATTCTACTTTAAGGAATTAATTCATTAATATTAATGTAACTCTTAAAACAGCCATACTGTTTTAATGAATAATGGAAAGGAACTACATTTATATAAAATCTGACGCACTATTTTCAATGCTGTATTGATGCTGTAAAATAATTTTAAATAACAGTGATCAGTGATAATTTTTAATAATAGTGATCATGTTTAGCTAATCTTCAAATAATATTAGTCTTTTAAAAGCTCACAAGTCTATATGTATTTCTTCTTTTCTTCTGTTTTCTTTTCACAGGACCTCCCGTAAGTACAACTGTTGTACTATTGGATCTTCTGTTTATCAAGATTAGGAAAAAAGGTGTTTTCAATAATGGGTAAAAGTGACCAATATGTTAAAAGTACCAATTTCTGTCCAAAAAGCAGTCAGTTTTATTATTAGCAATTTTTAAACTTCAACTCATTTTGGGGGAGCAAGGAGAAAAACACATTATTTTAAACTTAATTTCAAAACTCGTGTGCATAAATATTTAATATAGTATGCTAGATAGATCAATGAGTGTTTTAATTTTATTTTATAATAGCACATTATAATGTTATAATAATGTTTTGTCTCAATTTGTTAAAAAAAAAGAATGGAAGTGCTCAGCTGAAGCCTTGTCCATCCAAAAGTCTACATGATGGTTTAATTTGTCTGATTTAAAGATGTAAATGTATATACTAATCAGAATGTGCTAAGTTTGTACATTAAGTAAAAATGGCATATTGATCTTTATCCTGGAAAAGGAATTGTCAGCAATGGTGCTAGGGATCAATCTCACAATATCTTCCACACCATGCACTCTTTCAATATCATCCACCCATTTCATTCCTTTTTTGGACTGAATTAATAGTAAATCAGTAAAAACTACATTTTTTTAATCTTCTACAACCTTTACTGTACAATAAAATCTCAATTTAGGTGACCATTTGTGGGGTGTCTGCAAATTCTGAATTCATGTTATTTGTGTCTATCTATATCATTGACCATATTTAACAAATAAATCATAGATTTAAAGACCATTAGTCCATTAACAAGAAATCAAGATTTAAAGATCATTAGGCCATTAAACAGAGATCAAATCCAAAATCCATTTCACAATTGTTTTACCAACAAGCAGAATTCACATATTATCTATTGCTAAATTTTGGTTGGTGAGTCCAATGCAGGTGGGATGGGGTTGAGCGCCGCTTATTGGATGCCCCAGGCTCACATACAACTGGCCGTCACTGACGGCCAATGAGGGGCAAGGTGCCAATGAACTGCAGCTGTTGCTGGGCACCTCCAGCCCCCGCTTCCTGTCCTCATGCCCAGGGGGAGCACCCAGCTGGGGTGGGGTGGGGTGGGTCCGAGGTGGTGGGGCCATCTCACCATCTCCAGGGTGGCTCCACAGGCCAGATCTAAACACATCATGGACCACATCTGTCCCACAGGGCTTGAGTTTGACATGTCTACTTTAAAGCATGCTTGTCCAACCTTTTGGATTGCCCAGGCTGCATTGAATTAAGACGAATTCATTGTCTTGGGCTGCATACAAAACATACAAGATAGTCAATGTATATAAATAAAAAACTTCATTTGCTTTTTATATTTTTATTAACCTGTGAGGCCACATTAATAGTTATCCAGGCAACACATGGGCCATGGGTTGGACACGCCTTCTTTAATGTATTATTGGTGACTAGATGAAATTGCATTAAATTGTTATTAATAATAACAACAACAACAAACTACTTGCTAGAATGTCCATCCTGACTCAATTTTAAATGAATCAGAGTTCCTTGGCTAGGAGTACTTCTCACATCAATAGCAACACAATGGTAGATATCACAACATACCATCCATGTTTTTCCTGGGAACTCCTCATTATTCTTTACATTTGTAAAAAAGGCATTTCAGCTTTTGCTGCTACAGCAGAGAAATAGCTCTAAGTTTGTGGAGGCAGTCCAACAATACTATGAGAGGAACAGTAGCTTTCTTCAAACTATCCATTTAGTAGAATCATCAAGAACTATTCTGAAGTTTTTGTGAATTACTTTTCATAAAACATCATTTCAGGTAATCTATTTTCTCCCTCTGTATTATAATGTCTGGCTTAGTAGATTTTCTCTCATTTGCAAAGCACATTCTACAACTGAATCTCTCATAGAAATGTAGTTATTTATGTGTGGATTTAGCAAGGGATATGGTGGACTTTGGTTAACTTTGCTCATCCTGCATAAGAGGTAACAGAACCAAACTGCTACAGGTGCTCTGCACATGTGGATAAAGTCACAAAAAACTTGAAGATAAATTTTAATTACATTTTGAGATTCTATTTCTCATCTCCTTATCTCTATAAGCATATGTACCTACCCTCTTCTCATTTAGTATTCTGTTCCAATGACTTGGTTTTTATTCCTAAGTGCTAGAGAGAGTGAGTGAGAGAGAGATCATGGTTATCTCATTCAAGTAAAGTTCTCTCTGTCCCTATCTTTTTCTGAATTGCTTTTCTCTGCAATTCAGTGATTCCATAAAATGTGCTAATAGGAAGTTAATAGGGCCAGCTCTGTGACTTTAATTAGTTTATTAGATTCCTCACGCTCTGCTCCTGTCTGAAACAGACCAGACCTTAATCAGTTTCACACTGAAGGCTTTTGTTATTAGATCTACAAAATTTGATCCTAAATGTACATGTTGGTTGGAAAATGAAATTTTTATTAGTGCCATCTTTTTGAATAATTGGTAATCGAAATAGTCTCTAAATGAGACTAAAAAGCATAAATTCACTGAATTGAGTATTTGCTAGGCTTGTTAGCTGGAAAGCTGGCAACCCAGGTGCAAGGCCTGACCAACAGGGTAAGCTCGCATCCTCGTCTCAACTCCTGCCAACCTAGCAGTTTGAAAGCATGCAAATTTGAGTAAATAAGTAGTTATCACTTATTGGGTGGGAAGGCAACAGCCTCCATGATGTCATGCTAGCCATATGATCACAATAATACAGTATACATATAGTACCATTTATATTCTGCAAGTTTTGACTGAAGAAAATTTGAATTCCAAAAGACTTGTTATCTTCCCCATCTAATTGTGGTCTAGATGTTCTTCGTAAAAAGAGACATCAGTGTGCTGAGTTACATTTCCAATTAATGTACAGAGTAAATACAGAGTATCTTACATCATTCAGTGAATACTTAACCAATATTATTTAATTTCATCTAATTCAGTCAGGGTCATCCAGGAAGAAATGGCTATTCAGTAACTGTTCAATCATATATTTATGGAAAGCTTCTATTAACCTGCTTTTTTTCATTATCTTTTTGTTAACTATGGTTGAGTAGGATATACAAATTTGTCTTTTTTATTTTGCCGAAAATTTTCTTTATTTCATTTAGCAAATTTGTACGTAGAATCGTGTAACTAAAACTAATTGCATACAGCAATATATGTCTTGGAGTCAGTATAACCATTATATGAATTCTGTTTATTGAGTTTAAACATTCTTAAAAGACATAATAATTTAAAACATTACTTGAAGATTCATCTTGCATATCACTGTTCTTTATTCAAACATTATTTGTTGGGAACTTCATCTGTAATTCCTACAGCAGGCTTGTATTCTAATAGAGTTAAAATTTACTCATAATTAATAGTTTTTTTTAAAAAAAAATAAAGCTTGCTACAACTGCATTTTTCTAAGAGAGGTGAAACTGAGTTTGTCTACTGTTGTAAAAACAACAAAGGATTCTGTAGCACCTTCTAGATCAGAGTTCCTCAACCTTTTGGGCACCAGGGACCGGTTATGTGGAGAGAGATTTTTCCGTGGACCGGAGGGGGCATAGTTTTGTGTGTTGCCTGCATCCCACAGATGGGGCTTTACTTGTTTGTGCGGCCCAGTTGCTGGCATACTGTGGCCTGGTACCAGTCCACAGATTGGGGACCCCTGTTCTAGACTAATTGATTTATAATGACATACGTTTGTGGTCTACAACCTACTTCAAAGCTAATGTAATCCTAATGTGAAGTCTTTTAGATCCCAGAAGATAGTTTAACTTTTAATAATATGCATAATAAACTTCTAAAAATTACTTTGTAAGTACTTCTGCTTTGTGCTAATTATTTAAATAGCCCTACATCAGTGCACGCACCCAAGAAAAAATAGCACTACATTAAGAGTGTCATTAACTGTAATATTCCTTAACTAAATGGCATCTTTTTGTCAGGGTTATGTACAAGCCTGAAAAATTTCAAACTTCAGTGTATTGCAAAGAAGCACTGCCATCAATTATGAAATAATGTATTCTGGATAGGATTGCAGATTTATTAATCTGAAATAAAAAATTCCTATGAAATACTATTTCCATTCATATATAAATACATTATACGAGCACATAGCAGACCATAAATATAGATGGCCATGTTAGTTCAATATCTGATTTTTCATTGTGGTCAGCTATATGCCTTTGGGTACTCATAAGCATGTGATAGAGATAGAATTCATCCCTGCCCCAACTTCTCAAGCAAAATTGGGCTGCAAAATGATGATTTGGCCATGCAATTTCTTCAGTTGTTTTAAAATAGTAAAATTAAAAAATGAGAATATGTTCTCTTCATCTGAAATAAAAAAGAAAATAATAGCAATTAAGAATAACAGAAATAATAGGAAATGTGCCTGGCTGTTAATGTATTGATTCAAATCAGCAGGTCAATGAGAAAATCAATTGAATAATAACCAAAAATGTTTATAGTATATTCACAAGCACACATATTTCTTGAAGTTTTATTTTTTAATCTCAATGCTCAATTCAATTTTAGACTTCCTTCCAATCTCTGGTTTAATCTAGCACTTATTTACAGGATCTTAATTTCATTCTGCTTTCATAAAGTAGGAGGAACATCCCTTGAAATACAAGATGCTGATATCTTTAAACAGAACACTGTTTCCTTTCATACAATCTTCATATTTTTAAAGAGGATTATTTTCTCTTCCTGCCTGTAATACATTTCAAAGCAGAGCTTACATACATTTTGTTTTTCTTCATATACATCAATGACTTCTTTTTTTAAAAAAAGAGCTGCCTCTTGAGTCATAGAAATGGTTCATTCCTTTTATTGCCCTTTTTGTTTGCTTCTTAGAATAAATAGAGACCATCCTCTTCTGGTCCTGAGATACTTGACTTACAGTGAAATAGCCTACAGTTTATTATTATTATGGTTGGTTGCACAGTCACCAGATGTTTAAACTGGATTTGGCATTCTTATCCACCTACCAAGTCCTTCCCAAGAA